TGTTTTCTTCACTGCTAGCCTGTAAGCCCTAGCAACCCTGTCTCCACCCAGAGGCGGGCTAAGTGGGTGCTGAGAGTCAAACACTGGTCCCTATGATTGCACACATTCTCTTAGCCACCCAGTTACCTCTCTGGCCCCCTTCTTTTGTTTGCTTATTTAATGCTTGTTTGTTTGAAGACAGGGTCTTTCTGTGAAGTCCAGCGAGGCCTCAAACTCAAGATCCTCCTGCCTCAACTTCCTGAAAGCTGGCATTAGAGGTGTGCACCATGTCTTAACTAAACATGTATGCGTATGAGACAGGTTTAGGAGAGACATGTGATTACGAACAAGCCACCCTCACACAGTTTACAGTCCATTGACAGAGACAACACATCACTAATGTCAGGCAAACACATTATGTTAAGTACAGGGGGAGAGGGACAGGGTGTGAGAATTAAAGGGGGAGCCTAAAGAGGTGAAGGGTCAAAGAGCAGCTCTGCCGAACTGCATTTAAAGAAAAGTACAGGATACTGGGAAGTAAAGGGATAGAAAAGATCATTGTGGAGAGAAAATAGGATTGCAAAGTCTCTGGGCACTGGAAGAACCCAGGGTGAGAGGTGGACTGGAGGGCAGGCGGGAAGGAGCTGGCCTTTCTCCTGAGTGCGGTGGAGCCGGTGCGGGTGAGCACTGAACATGGAGGGCTTAAGGAGGGCTTAATCCCATGTAGCCCAGGTATTGTTGTTTGGAGTCTGTTGAGAGAGGCAGGGTGAGGATGAGCATCTGCAGGGCTGGGGTGCTGGCTCAAAGTCAACTGCTTGCCCATCATGTACAAGGAAGGCCCTGGCCTCCACCCTCAGCATTGAAAAACAAAACAAAACTTGGGGTCAGAAAACAAAGATGACCTGGCTATGGTGACACACGCCTTTAATCCCAGCAGAGGCAGGTGTATCTCTGAGTTCAAGGCCAGCCTGGTCCACAGAATGAGTTACAGGACAGCCAGAGCTACACAGAAAAACCCTATCTCTAAACAAAAAAACAAAACCAACCAAACAAAACAACAGAAAGCCGAGTCGTAAGTAGGGCCTGGCATGATGACCCGTCGCACCATCAATTCCAGCACTCAGGAAGTAGGGGCAGATTGAGGCTAGCCTGACCAGCTAGACATGGAGCTGGTTCCCGGGCAGCCAAGGAGACACAGAGAAACTCTGGGGAGGGGCTGTGTCCCTGGATACTCTGTGAAACAGGAGGGAAGGATGACTTCCAGTGCGTATTTAGGCACACAAGTTTGAGAACTGGGGCAACAGTGGCAGCTGTCATGAGACTAGTGGTGTGTGTGTGTGCGCGCGCGTGTGTGTGTGCGCGCGCGTGTGTGTCTGTCTGTCTGTGTGTTGGAATCTATCAGGGCTATCGGCACGGACTCAGCTACTAAGCTCCAACCACAGCTCCAGGCAGGACTTGATGGAAAACAGTTGACAGTCTTGGCATATGAATGCATGGGTGGATAGTCTCAAGTGTGTGTACTCCAACTCCTAACCCCTACATGGTAGGCTTTCACAATGGGTCTGACCTATCTACCGGCCTGTCCCCATCCAGTTTCTCTGCCGTAATTAACAGGCCCCTGGGGCTGGCTGGATTGGGTAATCTCAATTCTGGTTTCTCTACCCCCAACTCCCACTGTATCCCACCTGGGGGGTGGGGTCTATGGTCTGTCTACTTCAGGCTGTGTACACAGAGTTAGGGTTTATGCATGGGGAACCTTCTCTCCTTTGTGAGGTGTAAGGGGTGGGTTAAATCCAGGGGTCTGCACCCCCTCCCTTGTCTGACTCTCCCAGCCCCAGGCCCCTACCTTTTTGAGCTGTGAGGGACTCAGGCAGGCCATGGGGACTATTGCAGGACACCGCTGGCCCAGGGTGCTGACTCCAGGGCTGGATAGGGAAAAGTTCAGGGAGAGAGCCTGGTGAGGAAGCTCAGAAGGGCTGAATTCTCACCTACCGGGAAAACAGTCCACCCCACAGCTCCGCCCTCCCGAACACAGTCCAATCTGTGCCTTTCACTCGAGGTCCAGTCCTTCCCCTTACCCCTCCCCCACCATTTCTGACCAGGGAAGTAGGCCTGGTCTTTGCCTCAGACCAGCCTCCACTGGCCTTCACCTATTTCCCCTCATAGTGCACGCTCCCTTGGTCCCTCAGGTTTCTGTCTAAGAATTCTGTCCTGGGTGGCACAAGGAATTGCTCTTTAGTGTGGGGTAGGCAGAAGACTACCAGGACATTGAAATCACTGCTAGTGGGCTAAGACAAAGGCTGGACAGTCCCTAGTCACAGGCTCTAAATTTACCCTGAGGCAGGATCTGTGGGACTGAGAGGCTTTGCATTGTGAAGGCCTAAGAGATCCTAGGACAATAACTCTGGGGGCTCCAGCTTTGATTTGAAGCCCTCTAGATGCTGGACGACCTGAGTGATGCTGAGGGAAGGCAGATGAGGGGGTACTGGGGCCTCAGAATGAAGGACAACCAGTCTACAGAGGGGCTGGCAGGAAAGTCAGAACCACCTGCTGGCTCTGCAGCTGACAGGGACATTGGGCTCTGAAAAGCGGTCCACTGGCCTTCCCAGAAATGGTGCTTTGAACAGCCAAGGGACAGAGTGTCTCAGGAGCAAGGAGGGGGGACACTGCTCAGCTGAGAGCGCTTTGGCTCCAGATCAAGTGTTTTCTGGACCATAACACTGGGAGCTACAGTTGTCTAGGCTGTACAGGCCTCAAGAAAGCCAGAGAGGGCTGTGCCCAGTGGACCCTAGGGCTGATGGGAATTCTCTCGGGTCAGGCTGGGGAAGGCCCTGGAGACAGAACTGGGAGTCACAGGGCAAGGCACACAGTCCTTTCTGATGCAATCGCTGAGCAAAAACAGAGACCCAGTTCCAGGAACTCAGCAGAAAGGGCCCCTACTGCTGAGCCAGCAGTGGCCTGGGGGCCTCACGAAAGGCTGGGGGCAGGGGCTGGCCAGGCAGACAGTGAGGGTCCAGCCTTCACTTTCTGAGGTTGGTGATAACAGGACCCAGTGAATAGCAAGTAGTAATCAGGACTGATAAGGAGCCTGGCTGGCCTGGGGCTAACACCTAGGAAGTACCTCCCAACTGTTTGTCCCTCTGCTGGCAGAGTGGGGATGAGGAGCTGATCTTGTTTTTAAAACTATTTCTCAGTTCTCCAAGTTTTCTAAGTTGATTTTGTAAGTAGGGGTTAGGCCACCACTGTGGTTTTAGGTAGAGTGTGGGGACTGAGGGGGTGGAGGGGGTGAGGAAGCTGCACTCTTTTCATTCTGCCGGCCTTGAGGGGAGGGTGGGCGGTATTTCCACATCATTTTTCCCCAGAAACTAACCAGTTCCAGACTGAATTCAGTTCCAGACTGAACTCTCTGGGTCTGGGGCACTGGCCTGAAAGTCTCTCAACCCCCATCCCTACCCCAGAGTGGAAACAGGGTGGGGCAGGGACCAGATTAGATCAGACCAGACTGGACGGGAGGGAGTTCCCTACCTGAAGGTATGGAAGAGGGTCTTTCAGTGAGTGGAGCCCACTGTCTGCCAACAGTCCACAAGGGTAGAGGTAGAGGGGGTTCTGGCTCAGGTCTGAGGGGGTCAATCCCCTGTGTAGCAAGGGAGACAGGCTCTAGTCGGTTCCAGAAGAACCGCCCAAGCAACTCAGGCCTCCTAAGATCACACTTTGGTCTCTCTTCCTCACCTAGACTCCTGGCGCCATTTCCCGACGTGCACACGGTTCAGAAGGTAGGAGACTGCTCACCGGGCAATGCTACGGCTTGAGCCTGTAACCCCTAAATTCATCTATTAGAAACTTAACTCCACTTACTTTGAGTTTTGGTAAAGCGTCAAATGGCCCTCTCTGCTTGTTCCATAGGTCTGGCTGACCACTCTACAGCCTGCGCTGGCTTCGTCCTCTGCAATCTTTCTGATTCAGCTTCCAAACCTCTGAGATTGCAGCTGTGGCTGCGGTCATGGCTGTACCCAACAACCACAGGGAGGAAGTGTCTGGGTCCAGCCTCATGAATGGGTTAATGCCTCTCCTGGGAACAGGCTAGGCCTGCAGCTCCCAACTCCAGCGATGTTAGGAAGCAGCGTGCACCTCTCACTGGGTACAGCCATCAGATCCTGGACTTCTACTCTCTGCAACTGTGAACCCAGGTAAGCATTCCTCTACAGGAGAGAGGAATATAGCTCAGTGGATGAAAAGAACACTTGCTCAGCATGTTCAAGGCCTTGGGTTCCATTCCCAGCAACGCCTCCCCCTGTCCTCCCCCAATCCATATACCACTGTTAGGTACCACAGCCATGGAGAATAGAAGTGGACTTTATATAACCATGGATCCTTTAAACAAACCTGCCATGCCAATATTACTCCAATTTCACAAATGAGAGGAAAAAAAGAAATGGCGGGTGGGAAGAGAAACAAGCAAAAAATTAAGGGAAGTAGGGTCTCAGTAGAATTGAGATGTGAAGGCAGTTCTACTTCTCAGAGCCTCTGTCCTTGACCCCATAGGGGCTGGAATCCAGGCAGGCCTCCCCTTGGTCACTGCCAGCCTTACTTTGCAGAACCATGGAGACTTGGGTATTGAAAGATGGACACGCCCTCAGTACAGACGGGGATATGGAGGCCACAGAGCGGGGAGACCGGCTTAGCTTCATGCACAGCACAACTGGGCTGGATGGAACAAGGATTTCTGGCTCCCATTCCAGGTGACTTCCAGTCCCAACCAATCAAAGCCCATGAGGGCCCAAACAGGTGCCTGGGACAACAGAAAATGCACTGGTCACAAGGCCTCTGGACAGGAACCATGCCTGGAGCATCCAGCAACTGCCTCAAAGGTACTCTAAGTGTCTCAGGGCAGAGGGTGAGCAGAGAGCACCACTGTATGTAGGTGCCCAATACACGGTTCCTCAGCAGACTGGTCACCAGGACCAAGACATCTCAGAAGTGAAGGGACAAATCGCATCCTATGCACAGAGACCTGCAAAGGCAACTTTGTTATAGATTTATTTGATATTTGAACCGAGTCCACAAGTCAGACCCACGTGTAACGGATTGCTTCATGGTTGTCAGAGGCTAGTGTGCAGTATTTCCAAGGGTTACATCCAATGACACGACGCAGAAAACACAAAGGGGCAGAGACAGACATAATTGTTAAGACAAGAGACGCTAAAACGTGCCTTAGTGTCCACGTGATTGATCTAAGACAAGGACCCTTCTAAAGTGGGGACCTTAGTGATTGATCTAAAGCTGAGTGGCTTACGGCCACTAGGTGCTAACTGTACTGTGTGCAAACCAGGTGCCCAGTATGGAAACTGGCCTGCAACCCAAAACTGGGGAAGCTGCCCTCCCAGAGGTAACCTCTCTGCACCCAATCTGCCTCTAAATGTCTGTTTGTCATGAAGGACCAGATGGTGACAGCCAATGTAAGCAGCAGCACAGGTGAGCGGTGGCACTGAGCAAACCCACGACACACGAGGTGGGGACAGGGTCTGGGGGAAGCAGCTGCTCCTTAACACTGTGCATGAGTGGCATCATGGGGGTGGGGAGGAAGGGATGGAGCACCGGTCCCCTGGGGATCAGCCAGCCCAAGTCTCCTCCCTTCTTGGCAGTTCCAGAGCCTTCCTTTTGGCTGACAGTAATGAAAACGGTGTCTGCCAAGACCCATGGAGGAGTAGAAAAATAACAAGACACACACACAGAAAAAAAAAAAAACCCTAAAAGCAAACAAAAATAAAAGCCCTGCCTGCCCAGGAGAAGAGAAGAACAAACAGCTCCGCTGGACCAAGGTCAGGACAGACAGGAAAACATCCTGGCCCACACCACAGGGACAGGAAGTTTCCTTCAATGTCTTGCTGCTTTGCTCAAGGGGAAATACCACCCATCCTGAGACTTCAACTCACTGGCCTTTAGTGTCTTTTTTTTATTTTTAGTTTTTTTTTTTTAATACCCAAACCATCATTTTCAAAGCTTAAAAAAAAAACCAAAACAGCAACAACAAAAACCCTAAAATTGCTTCAAAAACTGATGGGGCAAGCCCCAGGCCTGACCCTTCCACCTGGTCTCCCACAAGCTGTGCTGCCAGATCCTAGCCCAGTGCCAATAAGGTGACCGTCCTGCGGTTGGCTCTACCCAAGTCTGGGTGGGCATTGTTTCTGTCAGCATCACCTGAAAAGAAAGGCAAACACTGCCAGGTCTCTTAAAAACTTCCCGGAGCCAGACCTTCTTGGGAATGTATAAGTTATCTGGAGGGCAGAGAGGGGAAGTGGCAAAAATAAATACCCAAATCTAAGTTACTGTCCCTGGGCCTCTGGTGCCAGCTCAGCCCCTAAGGCAGAGATGGCCTCCAGGGTGAAGACCCTGATTGTCCAATACTGTACTCGGAGACTAGTCTCAGAGTTTCCGGTCTCCAGTAAGTGTCTGCCCTGGGTGTATGAGTCCCAGAGAGAGAAAAGGGGCCAGCCCCTCAGTTCCTGTCTTCTGCCCTGGCCCAGCTTATGCCTGGCCCAGGTTCTGCCTGGCTGAACCTGGATGGACCCGACTGGCTGTCCAGCAGTCCTGGGAGAACTGAACTGCCCACTTGGCCTGAGGGCACGCTGAGGGTCCTTGCTGCTCCTCCAGGCTCTGCTCAGGCCTGTTCCTTATCAGCTCTCCAGAGCCGGTCCTTCACCTCTGGCGGCAGCGTGCTGAACAAGTCCTCCTCCACCACCAGGCCACTGCGTTTGAGCAGTGGGCACTCGCCCAGCTCCACGGGTAGGCACTCCAGCCGGTTGCCCCGAAGCTCAATCTGCGTCAGGTTGGTCAGCTCACCCACTCTCGAGGGCAGCGACTGCAGTACATTGTTGCCCAGGTGTAGAGCCCGCAACTTCCGGCACTGGAAGAGTTCTGGGGGGAGCGCCTCGATCTGCAGGAGGGAGCAAAGGGCCAAGGGTGAGGTGTATGGCTGGACAGTGCCTGTGGGCTTTCCACACACAAACCTGGTCAACAGCTAGCTACCCATACATAGGCATTATCTTTGCAGTGACTTCCTCCAAGAAGCTATCCTGACTTCCTGGGTCCTACCACATTTATAATGTTAATCCTTTTGCCTGTCATCTCCTGAACTGCGGGCTCTAAGTGTGCAGGGTAGGTCTAGCCAGGCATATCAAGCAGGCAGCTACTGCCTACCCCACTCACCTTCACATCTCAGGGCCATTAGAGTCCCAGCTAGACCACTGCTTCTCCCAAGACATCACCTGAATCATCCTTACCTGCCAGGTCCCAGGGTAATGGGAGTGCAGGGGCCCACTAGTGAGCATTTGGCACTTCCTGTTTGCAGCTTACCACAATATGGGCTCACTCAGCACAGACACTGTTTTGTTTTTTTAAAGATTTCCTTCTTTTTGTTTGGGGTGTGTGTGTGTGTGTGTAGACACTTGTGGGAGTTAGTTCTCTTTCCCACTGTGTGGATCCCTGGGATCAAGTTCAGGGTATCAGGTTTAATAGAAGATGCTGTTCTCACTAAGCTATCTTTTTAAAATTTGTTTTCATGTGTGTGGCTGCTTTCCCAGCATGTATGTCTGTATACCACATGAGTGCAGTAACCACAGGAGCCAGAAGAGGGCATCAGGTCTCCTGGATTTGGAGTTAAAAACAGTTATTAGCCATCATGTGGGTGCTGAGAATTGAATCTGTGTCCTCTGAAGAGCATCAAGTGCTCTTAACATCAGAGCCATCTTTCTATTCTAAGATATACTTATTTTTATGTGTTTGAGTCCTTGCCTGCATGTATGCATATATGTATACCCATGTGCATACTTAGTGCCTGTGCAGGCCAGAAGAGGGCACCAGATCTCAGTATAGATGGTTGTGAGCCACCGTGATATGGGTGCTGGGAACTGAACTCATGACCTCAGGAAGGGCAGTCAGTGCTCTTAACCTCTGAGCTATCTCTCCAGTCACCACCCCACCCTTAAAAAAAAAATTATTTACACTGGACGGTGCCTGAGAAGATCAGAATAGGGTGCTGGGTTCCCTAGAACTGTAGTTACGGGGGGGGGGGTTGAGTTGTCTGATGCGGACGCTGGGAACTGAACTCATGTTCTCTCAAACACTCCTAACCTCTGAGCATCTCTAGCTCTCAGCACAGGCACTGCTTTCCCACTCAGTATCCAAACCACCAGTAAATGCTCTGTGAATGTCTCTATTTTATACACAGACAACAGAAGACTGATGAGAAGAACTTGTCCTGAAGTTCAGCAGGTAAGAGGTGGTGCCATGATTTGAACCTGGTACAATAGCGATGCTGGGACTGGAGAGATGGCTCTGCGGTAAAGAACACAGGCTGTTCTTCCAGAGGTCCTGAGTTCAATTCCCAGCAACCACATGGTGGCTCACAACCATCTGTAATGAGATCTGATGCTCTCCTCTGGCCTGTAGGCTATGCAGGCAGAACACTGTATACATAATGATTTATTTATTTATTATGTATACAACATTCTGCCTCCATGTATACCTGCACGCCAGAAGAGGGCACCAGATCTCATTGTAAATGGCTGTGAGCCACCATGTGGTTGTTGGGAATTGAACTCAGGACCTCTGGAAGAGCAGCCAGTGCTCTTAACCACTGAGTCATCTCTCCAGTCCCTTAAATAAATAAATCTTAAAAAAAAAATAGCAAAGCTATTGACTATACACAGCAATGGCTGAGCAAGGGGCAAACCACAGAGCAACATTAGAGCCATCCCAGGTGTCCTGGGCATGCAGGAAGAGCCTAAGGAATGCCAGTCTCTCCCCTGCCCTTCTGTGGCAATCAGCTAGAGACAAGGGTCCTTACCACACCTGACTGAATGGGCAGGTGGGGAGGTAGGCCTTACTCCCAAGCAGGGACTCCCCGCTCTCAGGGACTTCACCACTGTGACACACATCCTACCCTGTCAGAGGTTGCATGGCCATTTTTGTGAGAGGACACAAGCTTTGCTTTTTGCCACCACTCACACAGGAACCACATTCTCATTTTGTCAAATACAACGCTCTGTTATGCTATAGCAGCAGGGAAACCTCTTGCTCTCTTGAGCCTCAGTTTCCCCATTCTTTTTGTTGTTGTTTGGTTGGCTGATTTTTAGTTTTTCGAGGCAGGGTTTCTCTGTGTAGCCCAGCTGTCCTGGAACTCACTCTGTAGACCAACCTGACTTCAAACTCACAAAGATTTATCTGCCTACCTCTACTGGTAGGTAGTGTTGGTATTAAAGGCGTGTGCCACCGCTACCTGGCCCAGTTTCCCCATTTTTGAACATAAAGCTTGAACTAGAAATACTTCACACCTCCAGCATTCCTAACTCAGGACAGTTTCTCAGTTTTGGAGCTAAACCTCTGAGGTTTGGGTTCCTAATAAACAATTCAGTTTTCTCGGCAGGAAAATGAGTGTGGCCACAGCCTCAGAGTCACCATAATGGGGGGGTTACAGTGACTTATTCAATGAAATGTCTGACCTGGGTATCCAGACCTTCCTCTTCTATGGCCAGGGTCAGGGATGGGGTAAGGATCTGAAGTGCAGGGATACGAAAGTCAAGGGTAGATGGGAAGTGGGCCCTGCAGGACCCAGGGACCAAAGCCTTCCCAGAATAGCCACAGTGCCTTCCTGCCCCCATCACCACCACCACCACACACATCCTGTGACCTCCTCTAATGATACAGTCAAGGGCAGTAGAAATGGTTCTGGCCGGTGAGTGGTACAGACAGGACCATCAGAGTTAGTCGGTGCTTCCAGAGATCCCTTCTTCAAAGTCCCCTCCCCAGAACCCCACCACTACCACTCTGCCATCAAGCACTCTTCAGGCCTCAGAGAAAAGTGCAGGTACTTTTGGTAGCTTGGCCAAGGCCACACCTAACCTTCAGAGCTGTCCCTAGTTCACTGAAGGCTTAAAGTTCTTTCCAATCACGCTGAATCCCATCTATCCTGCCTTTTCAGAGACCTCAGTGGCTCCTTGGTTAGCGTAGAAATGACCTCAGGTCCACTTGGTCTGCGCCCTCCTGCACGGCTCCTCAACCCTCCTGACTACGCTTGTGGAAAGGCACTACTCTGAGCTCACATAAGCCAGCCTCTGCCCTGCTGCCCAGTCACAAGCCAGATTCACATCTGTCCTTTCACTGACTCCCCATGGACATGGAGCCATGTGCCCAACCTGACCTTACTTTTCACCTCACAGGAGCACAGCAAGGATGGCTCCAAAAGTCTCAGGACAATTCACTCAGGGTCCAACACAGGACGCATACTCAGTCGTTCCTCTCGGGTCCTGAGACCCTCCTCACACCCCCACCCCAACAGAGGACTCACTCTTCCTCCTGTCCCTAGCAGCCTTGTCCAATCCGAGCCTTCCACCTCACTGCCGACCCGACTGTAGTCTCAAGTCCAGGAGGACCCTGCCTGCCTGTAATTGGTCCAAGCACATTTTTTCCTATAAAAGGCCTCCCTCTGGGTACTCCCGGGGGTGAGGACAGATTAAGCAATGTGCTAAGCAGGGTGTCAGAGGGTCTCCTTCCTCTAGTACAGGACAACATGCCTCCGCCAGCTCCTTTCCTAAGGGGTGACTTCAGCTAATAGGCACGACACTAACAGGCAAGCCTAGCGTGAGAATCTGGGGGCAGGGGTCGAGACAAGACAAGGCTGAAAGCTGGCCCACACCTTCCTGTAGGAGTCTGGCCCAGCAGGCACTTCAGAGTGAGGGATAGAGAGTCCACCCCAAAGTCCTGGAATAACCAGACTCCAACATTATGCCACAGGGAGCCACTTGGTACCCTGCTCCCCCCCACATTAAAGAAGGGATTGGCCTGTTTGGTTTTTGTTTTGTTTCTGTTTTTGCCCTCCCCCCCTTCATGAATCTCTAATTCCTCTTTTCAATGGGTCTTACTATAGTGAAAACAACCAGAGGTGGGCTATCATCCTTGACTCTCCAATATATATAAGCCATAGCTGGGGTAGGGAAATAAAGATGGTCCAATACCTCTGACATGGAGGATGAGGAGGACCTAATCTATCAGCAGTCTGTGCCGTGCAGGGGTGAGTCCTGACTAGATCTACTGTCCTCTACGTCTGCGGCTGCGGCTGCGGCTGGTAGACAGAGCTCCTGGGAGCAGAAGGCTGCACTGTCACACCTGCTCAAGGTCACAACCCCACACTAGAGCCAGCAGAACTCACTTAAAGGACCAGTTGTAATGGAGGCACTGAGGTGGTAGCTGAATCAGTTCTCAGTCTCCTGATCCCTAGCCTTAGGCTCCCCATCTTTTACAGGAAGACATCCTGAAGGCCCTGAGTACAAGGAATCTCTCACCCAACATCCAGTGGCTACAGCTTGGTTTCCCCTAAGAGGTCAGACCACAAGTTACAGAAGTGCCCTGCCTTTAACCCCAATCTAACTGGTCCATTACCTTTTGGTGGGGCTTTCCAGTCATACAAAGAGTTGGTACACAGGGGCCACCTACAGTTTCAAGAGCATTTGCTTCCCACAATGCTAGGCCCCAATGATTTGCACAATTTCTTCTCTAGAAAAGCAGGTAGGGGACAAGCTGCTCCATCTAAGCCCAACTTTTCCCTCCACCACCCCAATGCAGAAAGGAGAAGGATGTGAGTAATGTTGGAGCTAAAGACAGCTGGCTTCACCTCAGCCAGCAAAGCCACCCACGGAGGGAACCCAGGCTGACCCCTAGCCACAAAATCTTGTTGGAGTCAAGCTGAGGGAGACAGATACCACAAACTGCACGTTAAGACCTACCTCCCACCATCCCACTCCAAGAAAACCTTGGTCTTGGGATTCCTATGTGACACACTCTCCTGAAACACAGGCCCTACCTGACCACACCACAATCGGGGCAGAACTCTAAGCTTATATGACTCTGATTTAGCAGATCTGCAATGAGGCCTGGCAGTCTGGCTCCTGAACAAGCACCCATGTTTCTAGAAACAAGTGAGGACCTCAACCCCAGAAGCATCGACTGTCCTGAGACACTAGTTCTCTGAGCACCTAGCCGGTCACCCTGTGGCAGGCCACTCACCCTATTGGCCGTGACAGCCAGGTTCTGAAGGTTCTGCAGGAGGCCGATGTCAGCAGGAAGGAAGGTCAGGTTGTTGTGGCTGAGGTCCAGGTAGCGCAGCTTGCGGCAGTAGAAGAGCTGGGTAGGAATCTTCTCGATCTTGTTGCGGTTCAGGTAGAGGCGCTCGAGGTTGGTGAGGTTGCCGATCTGGATGGGGATGTAGGCGATGTGGTTGTACCACAGCTTAAGGCAGGTGAGGCGATGCAGATGCTGGAAGCTAATGATCTCCTCAATGGTCTTGAGGTTGTTGTCCTTTAGGTCAATCTCCTGCAGGTTGTGGAGGCTGAAGATGGAGTGAGGAATGCGCTCCAGGTCACAGCGAATCAGTTCCAGCTCCGTCAGGTTCACCATCTTCTTGAGGCTGTTGAGGACAATGAGCTTGGTGCCCTCGTTGTTGATGGAAAGCTTCTGCAGGTGCACGCCCACATCCGTGACCACCTGTGGTAGCTTGCTCAGGTTGCTTTTGAGCCGCAGCACCTTGAGGCGCTTGAGCTCCCGAAGCCCATCGATGACAATGTAGCGGTTGTTCTCTGCACTCAGGTTGCCCGTCAAGTGCAGCTCCTCCAGAGTTTTCAGGCTGTAGATCCACAGTGGGATCTCCTTGATGTCGGTGAACTTGATGTGCAGTGCGCGTAGGTTCTCACGCAGGAAGGCCAGAGCAGGAGCCTCGATCTTGGCTGCTGTGTGGTACAGCCACAGTTCCTTAAGACCTGTGAGCTGGGCAATGCTGGGTGGGATGGTCACATCAGGGATCAGTTCCAGCTTCAGGACCTCTAGCTCAACCAGGTCAAACACAGTGTCGGGGATGCCACTGAGCATGAACAGGTGTAGCTCCAGCTTGTCCTGGGCGTTTTTGGTGAGCCGCTGGCGCAGCTTCTCCAGCGTCCATTCGTTGTTGAGGTTAAGCTGTCGCAGCTTGTTCTCGCTCACTTCAGACAGGAAGACAGCAAAGCGCTTTGAGTAGAGCGGGTCATATTGGTCAATGAGGTGCAGCATGAAGGCGAAGTCGTTCTTGACATCTGGGATGTCGCTGTAGCTGCTCTCCTCTCGAATGGACTCAAACGAGTACTTCTTGAGGGAGCGCCGCAACATCCACCACAGTGTGTACATGCAGATGAGACCGTAGAAGATGACCAAGCTGATGTAGAAGGATGCCAAGATCTTAAAGAGTGTGGCCAGAGGGTGGGCACACCGGTAGGTACGGTAACCGGTCAGGCTCTCGATGTCCACGGTGCAGTCCACATCGAACTTGATATTGTGCACATAGTAGACAGTGTAGCAGATGATGAGGATGAACTTGATCACCTTGATGATGGTCTGCCGCATATAGAGGCGGTACACGATGTCCCCCTCCTCCACGTGGGTCCGAAACTTCTTCACCTTCTCAAACAGTGCCTTTGCCTGCTCCCCTTCCTTCTTGTCCAGCACTCCTGTCTCTGATCGGTCCACAATGCCCTGCTCAATCCGTGACTTGGTCCGCTGCAGCATGGGCACAGTGGCCTCCACATCCTCACTGACTGTGGATGACTTCTTGTCCATGGAACCATTCATCTTGCTGAATGTGGGCTTGGGGTCACTCTCCTCCACCACCGTCTCTGACAGGGCCCTTGTGGTCCATGGCGAATCAAAGCACTTTAGCAGGATAGACACAAAGTGCTCCAACTTTGAACTGGTGCGTGGAAACTTGAACCAGAAGTTGCTACAGGCCAGGAAGATGAGGGTGTGCAGGAGCACGAGGTAGGGGAAGTACTTGGCAAACCAGTGTAGGCGGTTCTCATAGCACACAGCATCCACGTAGTTGTACTGGTGGCGGTCTAAGTCGTACCTGATCCCTGTGGGGCCTGTGTCGGGAGTCGGCGCGACTGTGGAGTTGGGATAAGTGGGCTCCGAGCTGGAGGCCACCCAGCCTCGAAAGGAGTCATTGCAGGAGTCTTTGGTGACCCACTTACAAGGCAGGCAGATCATTTTATCCTGGGTGACTTGCAGCGTCCCCCCAAAGACAGCAATCATCAGCATGACGATGGAGATGTAGTCAGTGAACACATCCCACCATGGCTTCAGGATCCGGTAAGCTGGCTGCGTGTCCGCAAAGTAGCGGAGCTCCGTCACCGGGATCATGGTTTAACCTGAAAGGGACCCATATGGAGTTATCACAAGGCAGAGTCACGATTCTGAACCCCAGGGACGAAGGAGGAATATAAATAGTCCACCACTGGAACTCAGCGGTGGTAGCACACACCTTTAATCCTAGCATTTGAGAAACAGAGGCAGGAGGATCTCGGTGAGTTCAAGGCCAGCCTGGTCTACAAAGCTAGTTCTAGAACAGCCAGGGCTATACAGAGAAATCCTGTCAAAACAGAACAAACCCCCAAACCCTCTAAGTCTGGAAACCAGCCCCATGAAGCTGCAGCAGTGATCTGGAGAGATTTCTGCAGTGAGGATGGCAGAGGAAGCTTACCAAAAAGAACTCATTCATTTGTGTATGTGGGGCGGGCGGTGGAGGAGGCTGTTTTCTTGTTTTTCGAGACAGGGTTTCTCTGTGTAATGTCTTGGCTGTTCTGTAGACCACTCGGATCAGTGCTGTGATGTAAGGCATGTGCCATGGCCACCACCTACCCAACTGCAGCCAGCATTCTTAACTACTGATCCATCTCTCCAACCCACAAGAACTCAGTCTTATAAAATAAACCTTGAAGCTTAAAAAATGTAGTCAGGTGTGGTGATATATATCCTTAATTCCAAAGCAGGCAGATCTCTGTGAGTTTGAGGCCAGCCTGGTCTACATAGTGAGTCCTAGGCCAGCCAGGGCTACACAGTGAGACTGTCTTGAAACAAAGGAACCAAGACACATCTGCAAGTTTGTACCCAGCAGGTGTAGAAAGGACTGTGCGGACAGACAGTAGGTCTATGAGGGACTCTGGAGGGGGCATGCACATGGGAGGTGGTGTGTAACTTCCTGTGGATAATCTGTGGTGTGGGGAAGGGAGCTGTAAACAGCAGGTGAAGGGAGGTCTCCCTGAGAGCTCCATCTGGTTGGATTCAGGCAGCCTGGGACTCTAACAATGGTTTCTCTGACTCAAGCGGTTAGTCTGTCGGGAAATGCTGGACCAGAAGCTGCTTTAGGGAGACCCAGCCTGTGCCACAAACATGGCTGGAAGGGAAGTCCTTGGCAAGGAGTCTGAGCTTACTCTGGTCTACAGAACTGCAATGAGTGGGGCAAAAGAAGTATCTACCCCTGGAAGTTCACCAGGGGGCATCTGAAAAAATATAAAAAGCATGAGATGGGAAGAAAAGGCCCTGCTCGCTCGGTCGCCGGACTGTACTCTGTGCACACACACTGACTGATAACCCCCCTGACTTCTGGTTTGGATTTATGTGAGACATGGTCTTATATAGCCTTATGCTGGCCTCAGACTCACCCAGTACATAGCCAATGATGACCTTGAATTTCTGATCCTGTCTACTCCCTAAGCCACCACACCCAGGGTAGGAGTTGTAAAGGACCAAACCCACAACTTCCTGCATGCTATTCAAGAGCTATACCACCACCCACATTCTAAAAATGTAAAATTGTGCTTTTACAATCAGCAGCCCTCCTGGACACAAATGATACAGAAGCAGAGAGGCAAATCAGAGAAACATCACCTTCACCATAGCCACAAACAACATGAAATATCTCGGAGTAACACTAACCAAACAAGTGAAAGACCTATTTGACAAGAACTTTAAGTCTTTGAAGAAAGAAACTGAAGAAGATACCAGAAAATGGAAAGATCTCCCATGCTCTTGGATAGGCAGGATCAATATAGTAATAATGGCAATCTTACCAAAAACAATATATAGATTCAATGTATTCCCATCAAAATCCCAACACAATTCTTCACAGACCTCAAAAGAACAATAATTAACTTCATATGGAAAAACAAAAAACCCAGGATAGCCAAAACAATCCTGCACAATAAAGGAACTTCCGGAGGCATTACCATCCCTGACATAAAGCTCTATTATACAGCTACAGTAATGAAAACAGCTTGGTATTGGTATAAAAACAGAGACGTTGACCAATGGAATTGAATTAAAGACCCGGATATTAATCCACACACCTATGAACACCTGATTTTTGACAAAGAAGCTAAAATTATACGATGGAAAATATCTTCAACAAATGGTGCTGGCATAACTGGATGTCAACATGTAGAATGAAAATAGATTCATATCTATCCCCATGCACAAAATTCAAGTCCAAATGAATTAAAGACCTCAATATAAATCTGACTACACTGAACCTGACAGAAGAGAAAGTGGGAAGTAGCCTGCAATGCATGGGCACAGGAGACCACTTCCTAAATATAACCCCAGTAGCACAGACACTGAGAACAATAATATATTAATGGGACCTCCTGAAACTGAGAAGCTTCTGCAAAGCAAAGGACACACAGTCAATAAGACAAAAAGGCAGCCTACTGAATGGGAAAAGATCTTCACCAATCCCACATCAGACAAAATATATAAAGAACTTTAAAAGTTAGACATTAAAATTCTAAATAACCCAATTAAAAAATGGGGTATAGAACTAAATAGAGAACTCTCAACAGAAGAATCTCAAATGACCAAAAGATACTTAAGGAAATGTTCAACAACCATAACCATCAGGGAAATGCAAATCAAAACAACTCTGAGATACCATCTTACACCTGTCAGAATGGCTAAGATAAAAACACCAATGATAGCCTATGCTGGAGAGGATGTGGAGGAAGGGAAACACTCATCCATTGCTGGTTCGATGCAAACTTGTACAACCACTTTGGAAATCAGTATCGCGGTTTCTCAGAAAATTGGGAATCAACCTACCTCAGGATCCAGCAATACAATTCTTGGGCATATACCCAAAATTGCTCAATCATACTACAAAAGCATTTGTTCAACGATGTTCATAGCATAGATGCCCCTCAACTGAAGAATGGATAAAGAAAATGTGGCACATTTACACATTAGAGTGCTACTCAGCGGTAAAAAACAATGACATCTTGAATTTTGCATGCAAATGGATAGAATTAGAAAACACTATCCTGAGTGAAGTAACCCAAACCCAAAAAGATGAATAAATATGGCATGCACTCACTCTTATAAACAAAGGACATTGAGCCTATATATAGTTCATGATCCTAGAGAAGCTAATTAGGTGAACCCAAAGAAAAACATACATAGATCTACCTGGGAATTGGAAACAGTCAAGATCGCCTGACAAAATTGGGAGTATGAGGGTGGGGGGAGAAGGGAGGATGAAAGGAGAAGAGGAGGGGAGAAGGGAAGGGTTGAGAACTTGAGAGAATGGGATAGTTGAGATGGAGGAAAGACAGAGATGAGAGCAAGGAAAGAGATATCTTGACTGAGGGAGCCATTATAGGGTTAGCAGAAACCTGGCTCTAGAGAAAGTCCCAGGAATCCACAAGGATGACCCCACCTAAGACCCTAAGCAATAGAGGAGAGGGTGCCCTAACTGGCCTTGCCCTGTAGTCAGACTGATGAATATCTTGAATGTCACCATTGAACCTTCATCCAGCAACTGATGGAAACAGAGGCAGAAACTCACGTCAGAGACTGAACTGAGCTCCCAAAGTCCAGCTGAAGAGTGGGAGGAGTGAGACTATGAGCAAAGAGGTCAAGACCATGATGAGTACATCCAATGAAACAGTTTACCTGAGCTAATGGGAGCTCACCAACTCTAGCTAGACTGGGAAGGAACAAGCATAGGACCAAACTAGTCCCTCTGAGTGTGGGTTGCATGTCTGGGGCAGACTGAGGGGCCACTGGCAATGGCACCAGGATTTATCCCTACAGCTTGTACTAGCTTTTTGGGAACCTGTTCTCTTAGGATGGATACCTTGTTCAGCCTAGATATAGTAGGAAGAGCCTTGCACCTTCCACAAAGCAGTGTGCCTTAGCCTGAGGATTGGATGGGGGTGGGGTGGGAGGGTATGTGGAGGGAATGGGAAGAGGGAAGGAGTGGGAACTTGGATTGATATTTTTAAAAAATCTAATAAAAAATTACTTTTTAAAAATTGTGCTTTTACTTAACACCATATTTTCTTGATCAGAATCTACATCTTAGAATCTTAGACCTCACACCAATTTTAAAAACTGTTAGGTCCGTTTCATTCTCTCGGAAGAGGAGACACCCTGGGGAGGAATCCAAGCTACTGTATTTTCATACTGACGCTGATCATGACAGCTGTAACAAATCCTTCAATCTTCTGAATCCTCTCCACAAATGCCAAGTGCTCCCCGCCAATCTTTTGAGGGCACCTGAGGATGAAGGCATTGGGGCCCTTAGTAGAGGTAGCAATAGCTACAGTACAAAGAAGGTTCCTCCTACATGGGCTCTGGCTGAATCTCTGTGCCCTGTCCTCTTTAGCCCATTCCACTGATGAGGAAAGTAGAGTTTCAAGGAGGTAAATATCAGCCCAGTGGAGTTTTTTTTACCAAGCACAACATAGGGCATTTCTCCTGGCTGAGCTTAGGCTTCATGGTTCTATGGAACTTGCTCTCCTCTTGCCTAGGGCCCCACATACAGAAAGTGCGTGACACACATGGTGTTGAAGAAACCTTCAAAGGTGTCTGGTCATGTCCCCCCCACCGGGTTCCCATTGTTTAGGTCACCTCAGGGTCAGCAGACAATACCAGCAGCCACTCAGAGACAGTTCTCCTGGTGAGGCCTAGACTCTTGGGCCAGGATGAGTGCCTAACCCACAGGAAGGCCCTAGCCCTCTAATGACCAGCTGGCTTTTTACACCACCCACACTCCTGGGAGAGAAGGGCACGGGGTAGGCTGGGGAGGGCGGCTGAATCACACTGCTGACCTCCAGCTGGGAACCACACAGGGTACCTTTTCTGGCTCCAAGGCCTCATCCAGGGCAGCAAAAGATTGGAGAATGGGAGGGGTAAAGACTGAGGGCTTGAGGGAGTGATGCACCCTGTGCCACTCATCCAGGAGACCAGTAGGGACAGAGAGCCAGCGATTTGTGGTAGGAGCAGCTTCTGGCTGTGGTTTCCATTCCATAATACTTCCTTTGATTTCTGATAAAAAGTTGGGCCTGTCAGTTCATAGGGAATATCCAGGCTTCTT